TTACATATATATATTATATATGACATTTATAATATATAAATGAGCAAACACATATATAAGGAAAAATTGGCACAGTTTGACAACGTATGGTGTATTCTGCCTCTTTATAAAATTTTCTATGCTTTCCAGAATTTTTATTACATATTATGGAAAGGCTCTAAACTGTGGTAACCAAGTTAAGTTAGTATTTATTCAAATTACTGTTCATCTGTAATTTTTTTGTTTCTGTTGACCAAGAAAATGTCTGTCCTGTGTAAACGCAACCTTTACTAGTTTTTTCAGTAAAAGTTATTTATCATTAAGCCATTCCCCACAATTCCCTTGCAATTTACCCCCAACCTTACTATTATTACCACCTGTTGGCTTGAATCAGTTTTAAAGCACACAAACAACCGCATGGAACACAACTCAAACAGAAGTGCAGAGTGGGCTAAAAGATTTAAAATTGCTCAGGACAAATAAAGTTATATTCAGAATAAATCAATTAATGAATGAAACAAAGCTGTAAGAGGAAGGGAAAAGAGCTTTGTATGCCCTGACTGAACCACACACGGATTTATGGGGAGGAATAGTTTAAGGAGAACAGTCTACCACTAATGCTGTCTAATATGTTAGACAGTTAGTTAAAGTGTGAAGCAGCCCCTCCTTCAAGGGTTTAATTTTCTTCCCCTTTTACCCTATTTTTCAACCAATGCAGAGTTTTTACTTAATGCAACTTAAAAAAGCCCTCTAAACCCAAAAGATAACAACAGCAGCAAAAAAAATTAATCCCCCCCAGGCATGACTCTTACGTTCTTCTGGTTTCATTTCAGATATTTTCTGTAGCCAGTCCTTCCAGGTTTGGCAGTCACAAGGTTCATGTGCTTCACCAAGACACTCCCTGAAAATGAAGGTGTATACACAATAACTTATCATTTAGAGATTTAGAATTAAAGTTAAAATTGGTTCAAGCTAAAAAACATGGAAACTTATCAAGACACGCTCAAACTTTAATTAAGTCAGGAAGATAAAAAGCCATCCAATTAACATTATTTTAAAATACTCTTAGACTACTTGCTTACAAGCATAGATGACCATCATTAAGATCAATAAAGAGTTTAAATGAGACAGGAAAGGAAAAGAGTTTTTTAAAATTACAATTGGAAATAAATCAGCTGGTTTGCAGTTTGTTTGACTTATGTAAGGGTACTATTTTAGTGCCACAAAAAGCGCTAGTATAGTTTCTGTGATAAAGGTAATCTAGAATAAAGAGATTATCCAAAACTAGGTAGTCTGCTATAGCTGAAATGCATTTCACATAGAATTACTTGCATCTATTCAGTTGTAATAATTAATCTTTAACTAGATTCAAACTTTCAATCTAGAATAAGATCCAAGCCCTTTCACACCAGCATTAAGTATTTATGGATGTTTACTCTTTCCACCAGAGTCTCTTAAATAGGGGCTTTAACTGAGTTACATGGACACGGTGGACAAATGAGTCCCTTGAGCCTCTCCTGAAGTTACTACTAGCTTTAAGGATGGCAATCACTACTACACAGTGGCAGATATATGGCTTCCAGATGGTGCTTGGGTGTAGATGTGTCAATAAGGACTCTGGATTTGTAATGACTCCCTTTTTTACTGGAAAGGCAGCAGATAGCCTCAGACATCTGCCACATCAAACAAAACAATTCAGAGGGAGTATATTTCAGATGGGCACCAGCTGCAGCAGCGCATATGCAAGTTTTCTGCAGATCCAATGGTGAACTGCTTTCTGCAGTGCAGATTCAGAAGCTACATCAATACTCTTCTGATTGCTCTTGTCCACATCTTAAGCAGCAACGCAGGAACAAAGAAAAGGTTATGGCAACAGTTTTTAACTTTTTTCCCACTGGCTAGTCTGCTATCAAACAACCTTAAATTCATTACACAAGGACCTCTGGTTTGGAGATACATAAGATCTGTAGCTGGGAAAGATTGTACTGGAATGAATAACTAGTCTGCAATAAGGCAATCTCAGCCCTGGTTGAAAACTGACACCTTTCACTTCTGTGGGACAGTAGTATGCTTAAATCATTGACTTCAAGAGAGCCAAGACATCTCACACAGTATTTGTTCCCACAAAGGACTGAAATTAGCAAAAATTAACTTTAACAAACTCAGTTTTAAGTTAAAAGCTGATTAGTCAATCTATTACCAGTCAGGGGTGGAGGTTGTGTCTTCAATGCTTTCAATTGTGTAAATTTATGGATTTTAAATTAAGTGCAATCATATAGATATCATGTATCTAGATCTGTATCTATATGATAGTCACAACAGAGTGTTAAACAACAACTTCTCATGGAAGATGTTCTTTCCTCAGCCCACTGCAAAACAAGGATTTTTATACTGGGATGCCATTTTACTAGAGTAAGAGCATTGAGCCTATTGCTCATAAAACTTTTCATGAAACAAAGTTGTATTTTGGGTATACTCCCTCACAGCACTGAATGAAGGGAACTAACGCCAAACGGCTGTGAGAATTAACAGCGTTAGCCTCCCCAGCCTGCCTTCCTCAATACTCAGTGGGATCATTTATTTGAAGGTGCAGTACATACTTAATAAAATTGTAGCAAGTTTCAACAAGTTAAAATTCATGGAAGGGCTAAAAACATCATCCAACAAGAATGCAGTTCTGGATTTTCTTTCCCCTCATGGTATTATTTGTACCATATAATGAATTTTGAATCAAACCAGCAAAACACTGTTGCAACTTATAATTGGCTTCCCAAGTGCACCTGAAGATATGTCTCTCCTGCAGAATGAGACCCTGCCCCTTGTCTCCATCTAGGAGGAAAGGAGCAAGGACATGGTGCAAAACTAAGTGTGCACTGCCTGCTAGGACTTTTTCAGAAGCATCTGCTCGCTACAATTCCTTGTGCTTTTGAAACACCATGAAGGGGTTCTAATATGTTGAATGTATCTGATAATACACAGATGTAGGATTTGTGCACAGTTTTCATTTCTACTATGTTTAAATATCTCAGAATGCTTTTTCTGAAAGGGAATAGAATTTTGTGTGTCACAACAGATTACATTTTGTTGAAGGCACTGTTAGTGGTAGGTAATGAGAAATGAGTAAATTCTAAGGAACTCTGTATTTAAGATGAACATTCCTACTTCCACACTTAAAAAAAAAAGGAAATTGCTCAATAGACTCAGAGAATTTTCTTGCTTTTATGAGCAGGAAGGCTATAGATCTGAAAAAAGCAAGTGATTATCGAGGGGTTAGTTGGGGTTTTCTAACACATAAATTCCGAAGAATCCCTTACTAAATGCGGTATCAATTGCTATTACAATATCTAAGCTGGAGATCACCTGGGTAAAACTTGCAGAACTGACATAAGTATGGAAGTATAGGATGTGTTGATTGAAATATAAAGATATAAAGCAAGCTCCCTTTAAGCATACAATAATGATGAAAACCGTCTGAACTGAGAATACACTTTCTTTTTCTCCAGAGGAACTCATTCATGCATTTGTACTGTAAGACTAATATGGCTGTCCTCCACAAATGGTTCCGATTTATAGTACTGCAGGATGCTTTGGTTGCTAGCAGAACTTTCTTGTCATTGCTGAAACTCATCATTCACTTCTGTGGGCATAAAAAAAAGGCCTTGGAAAGGCCTTCTTGGACATTTTGCTGCTAGAATAAGGTCTTTTTCAAGACCTTAACTGTATTTGCTTGTGCAGTATCTCAAAGCATTAACATAAAAAGAGCATTCAGAAATATTATCAGGAAACATAAAGAAGACATTTCTCATAAAAATTAGGCACTCAGAGGACATTTCCACACTCAGAAGACATTCTGGGGAGCTAGTACATTCAGCCCATGTAAAGGAAGCAGAAGCTGACAATGCCTGAAGGACCATGTTAATATTACACTAAAGTGGTCTCAAGCTCTGTCCTTCAGGTTAACGGAGAAATTGATTCTCTCTCTGTAATCAGAAGCAAGGATGAGAGGATGGTGCCTTCTTGTGGAATAGTACTAACGTTTGTTGTATGTTCACTGGTAAAAAACATTTGCTCGTTTGTTTCCACAGGATTTGTTTCTTTCTGAGTTCTCCATCCAGTGTGAAAAACCTCTTCCCAAGATGTTCTATTTTCTGGCTTTTGTGGTTGTTTCATTATGTCTACTTTTCTCTTGTTCCTTCTTCCTTTCCACTCATAAGGGGAAAGAACTAAAATCAGAAGCATCTTTCATTAAGAGTCTTATGATATTTGGAATCAAGCAGATTATTCAGGATCTCTTCTTCTTGCATCATGGTTTCAATTGAAAAATGAAAACAAGGATTACTCAGCTTGTCTTAATGTCTATACTTTGGTTGACCCTTTTTGATTTTCCAACAGCGAAAAGGATGTCCCACTACAATAGTCATAAATTGGCAGTCTGATAATCATAAGGAACTAGGATAGGGCTTTGCTCTGCACTTCAGAAAAATATCCCACCACTTTTTTGCTTCTGTTGATACTGTTGTTGTCCTTTCCTTGGAAGTGCTGAAGATAGGCAATCTGAGGGATGTTTTTTAAATAGCTTATGGTTTACTTTACTTACTCAAGCTTGCATGCATCTTAAGACTCAATAGAAGATAGCGTAAAGAAAAAGTGCTGATCCTAAAGAGAAACAATGATGGGAGTAAGCCTGCAAACAGAATAGCTTTGTATGTAGCAAAAGGTCCTTCATAGTTTCGTTTAAACTCCAGCTTCTTTGATGTGATTCTACCAAAATTCAGAAAGAGCTAAAAATTGCTGATTTTCTGTGCTACAATTCAGAACGTGACATGTTTCAATTATACTACAGCTATCCAGAGCAGACACAAAAATCCCTCCACCAATATCCCGCTTCTCCTCTGTCCCCTCAGAACAGAACATCACAACACTCCATATCACTGTTCTGCATCTAACAGAGCCAATAACAAGTAAGACAATATTATAAACCTTTGCTGTGCCCTAAAATACTAAAATATTTGTGCACATGAGCTTATTTAGTGCACGGATACAGGACAGTACAGTCATATACCACCCTGTAGAAATTTCTGTTGCCCACCTGGTGCTAAGTGGGACTTTTTAATTAATCCCTGGAATAGCAGTGACTGTGAGTTTACATAGACGTAGAAAAGTTTCTAGTACTAACCAGCAGAAAAGATGTCCTTTTCCACAGTCTACAGCAGGGGCTTTTAGCATAGGGAAGCTAAGTGTATCTGATCCTGTTGAATTTGATCCTTGTCTTGTTAGCCTTACTGCTCTTTCACAGCCCGGTATAGGACACCATTTAATAGCAGGATTATTTTCAACAAAGGCCTGGGGGGAAAAAAGGAAAAAAGGAAAACATTTTACCACATAAGATCAGATTTCATCATTGATATAAAACAATCTGAATGAATAATCTTCCTTTGAAGGAACAAAGCCAAAGTGCATAAGGACAGTCTTGCACCTACTTTGATAGGCTTTTCCAAATAGTTATAAAGAGGTAATAATTTAATCTCCACCTTAAAAATGGTTGGGGTTTTTTTGAAATAACAACAGTACTCCAGACTTCTGCTAAGATGCAAATGACTTACATCCCAAACAAAATGTTCAATGTGTGCAAATAAACTCCTTTGTGATATGGCTTACTGTAAACTTCTACTATACATGCACTGGCAGTACACTCATTAATAGAACTGACTCTTGTAGTTGACAAGAATTAAAACCTTATTGATTAAAGCAAAAATCCCACAATATATCCCGCCTGCAATAAACTTGAAGTCAGAACTAGACTAACTCAGGAATTTACCTCCAATCTTATTTGGTTCATGTAGCAGGTCTTCTTTTGTAAAACTTACATCTAATAAATGAGGAGGAAAAGGAACTTTCACTACTTTGCTTCAAACCTATGCTGATCACCAACTGCTTGAAACATGATGTAAAAGATTAATCAGATCTGGTCATTTAATTTGCATCTTACTGTGGAAGACTGTGTTACTGTGTATTAAAGAGACTTGTCACACAGAGAAAGTACTGTATTGTAAATGAAAAAATATTTCTCTACTTTCTTTTGCCCTGTCAGCACTGATAAAGACTAGTTCATTGCTACACTAGTATAAAAGAAAAAAGGTGAATTAAAAGATTGCTTTTAAAAACAAGTTGCAATGATGGAAATAAACACATGAAAAAAAATCAAATAGGAAAACCAAACCAAGGTTTTCCTACTTCTCTTCCTATATATAGCAATCATATCAAGCATTGGATGGAAAAAAATTTAAGTAATTCAGTTGTACTAATAAATGTTTAAAATGAAACCAGGTACTATTTCTGAATGCAAACAGTCTCTTGGTAATAAAAATAATCCAAAAACTCTTAAAAATTTTAGATTGCCAACACAAACAAGTCTGGCTGATTAAAAGCTTCATATCACCTGTTATGAACATTGGTTTGATCAAATCATTTTATTAATACTGCATTGGGTTACACATTATGGAAGTATTGCATTTGTGCTTAAGGAATAAATATAATGTTCTTTCTTTTTTCTCAGTGGCATATCAAACATTGACATTATGGCATATAAGACAGCCAATAACTCAGTGTACATATTAATGTATGAATTTCTACTTGGAAAGTTATGGACATATTGCAGCATTTCACAGAGAAGTTGTAAGTTATTTTTCATAAAATGAAATACAGTGCAAGAGTACAGGAACAGTTTGATAATTTACCTTAATGTCAAATTGGAGGTATCTTTTGTCCATCTCCTTGGAAACCACACTTTCTATGATGTCTACAGGCACAAGCTGGAAACAATCATATGCTGGGCAAAAAATGTTGTGAGCTTCACCCTCCTGAATTTTCAGATTCAAAAATCTGCCAGAATTTTGTCAGTCAGTATTTGTGAATAAAAAGTAAAAATTAAAAGGCTGCTGAATACTTTATAGTAGGTTCACAGATATTCACATTAATCAGTTTTTAAACAAAGAATAGGAAGTATCCCTTTCTGCTCAAGAGCTACAGATTTGATGAACAGCATAATTAAAAAAAAAAAAAAAAGAATACTGTCATAGTTCAAAAGTGAGCACCATCAGCTATGTTTAGCCCTATGTGTTTGTGGTTTCCATCCTTGCCATTTATCAGAGACAGCTATGCAAAGTTTAATTAAACTGAGCATTACTTCTAACTTAAATCAGAAACAGAACATGTAAGTGTAATTAATCTAGGAAATAATGAATTTGATATGCAATTAATTTTTACAGCTGTGCTAGTCAAAACAGGTCTGCTCTTGGAAACAAATTTCTAAATGGAGACCTTTATAGTCCCTAAGCACTAGAATGCAAGACAGAACGAGCTCAGAAATCTGCTGAAAGCTGGACTTTAACTCACCGTGCGCAAGGTTGCTTAGTTTAAAAGCTGTTACTTATTTATTAATCTGACATTAAGGGTGATACTCATCTCATCTAACTTTAATCGTCTAAAGGACAGGCAGCTATTCTAAGTTAGTCACCTGGGATCCTTTAATAGTTCAGGTAGAGAGACTTGCCAATTAATCCCATCTTAGATTCATATCTAAGAATGGGATAACTCAGTCCTGGCTATGCTCTGAGTAACTTAGAAATGACTGGCTCGGAAAGATAAATCCCACCCCAGATGTGCCACTGCCAACACTTGCTTGACATTGAACTGTAGCTCTGAGTGCATGCACAAATCGCAGTACACATAGTCCAGCACCCAAATTAGAAGCACCATGTCAAGCCAGTGATCTTTTGGTAACTTCTACATTGCTGCATAACAATTTGCAAGACAACAGAAGCATGACTATTAATTTTCTTGCCACTGAAAAGAACGGCCTTCTAAATGTTCATATGGAAGAAAAAGTGCTCTTCCTTAACGTAGGAGGAATGGGTTCATATATATTGGGCTGATCTGCAGTAGGACTAGCTGTGCTGATATGACACTATAACAAGACACTATAGCAGTACAGTTCAAGTAGTACAATCTCCTGAATGGGGACAAAGATGAATATAAAGGCACTGCATACAGATATAATTATTCCTGAGAAGTATGATTAATATTTATACTAGCATAATTATCCATGTCTGAGTTTTTTACTAGCATGACTATTTTGACTTTAAGAAAATTATGTAGTAACGAGAGCATTACAGTAATAGAACTTTTAAGCTAAATCTACTCCTCAGTTATTAAACCTCAATATAAGAAAGCATTTTAATTGCTTTTCTGACTGGAAATGGATTTATGATGCCTAAGTTTAGTGTGCTAAACTACAAGATGGAATTAAGCATGTGCTTAATTTAGAAAGTGTAAACCCCAACGCCGCCAACACCACACACACACTGAGCAAATCAAGAGTACGCTCATCTATTTACACACAAACTTGAAACATTTGCTTAAGAGTTTTACTAAATCAGGACCAAAACAAATGTTATGTAAGCCTAAAACAGTTGATGGCCATTTGAGTGACAACTTAAATATTTGGCTGGGTCAAACCAGCAACTCTTTGAAACCCAAACAGTACTTTAACATTAGCTGCTTATGGTCTCTGTCCTTTCCTCTTCAAAATGGCAAGTATGAGAGTTTCTCAAAAGATAGAAAAGTACATATACTCACGCCTCCCAGCATGCTCTGCAGAAGTCATGTCCACAAGGCATATCCACTGGGTCTTCAAACACAGAAATATTACACATACAAATGTCACACTGTAGATGAAAAAAATATTTCTGATTAAGAAATACCCTAAAGCCTTTCATATTGTTAGCAAGACACGTTACATTGGAAAATCTTAGTAAAAATTTTAAAAAGTGCTCAGTAGGGGAAAAAATCTAACTGTAACCAGAAAAAAAGTTATTTAAGCTATAGGAACAGAAATGGGAAAGATTAGGTATCTCTGTTTCTATACCTCCCTATGCAAACAGCACATTTTGCGGTGCCTTCCGTCACGTCCTGTAGTTCAGTAAGCGCTTCACCCTGCAGAGCTCTAGGGACAAAAGGGACCTGAATCTTTCATCAGCTTCACAGGCTGCCAGAAATGGAGTTTGGAGATGACAGAGGCTAGAGGAAATGTGTATCTCACACAATCAGGTCCAAATCAAGGCGGAACAATTTGGTTGTGCAACAGCAACAATTCTTTTATGTAATAATCTACATAAATACTATTTTTTTAAAATACTTTGAGGCTTTCGATCAAAATAAAGAATAAGTTAAGCTACAAATATTCCAACAAAAGATACCACTGCTGAATTTTATACAATTAAGTACTATAGAAGAAATAATATTGAATATTGAGACCCTTACTCTGACAACATTTAAAGCATAGGGATGAAACTACTCATTGCTTGCAGTTAGGCGTGAAAACAGGTATTCAAGCTCTTCAAGGAGTAAAAATGGATTTTTCTTTCCATTGGAACAAAGATTCCATGAAAATTTACTTCAACTTTCAATACGTTAGATATTACACACACAGAGGACATTTTCAGAAAGTTAGCCTATGGTATACCACTTTTTAAAAGCACTTGTGTTACAGCCAAAACAAAACCAAACCAAAAAAGTCAGTCTTTAAAGTGCAAAACTCAATGAGGGCACTTACTGTTGTTTCAGTCATTTTACCTTATTATCTTGCCAAAATTAAATATTTTAGAAGTTGACAATGAATCAAAAATGTTCACTATTAAATTTATATGAGTTTTCAATTCTGTTTGATCATTATCCAAACCTGCATTCCTGGCTTATGGACCATCAATGAAAACCAAAACACACCATGTAAAACTGAATACATGTAATCTTTCATTACACATTTTAATTAGGAAATATTCCTGGACAATATTTAACTGCTAATGTAAATAAATGTACAATAACATTATTCCTTCTATGTAGCTTCTTTTTCAGCATTTTACAATTAAAGAAATAAAAGATTTCTATGCAGGAATG